TCTGAGAGGGATCCAGCCATCAGGGGACTGTGTGTGTTGACTGAAGACTGATGGCTAGCACGGGCTGGCAGGGGGCTGGGGCTGGGAGGGGCTGGCAGAAGGGCTGGCAGGGGGTTAGCGAGGGCTGGCAAGGGGCTAGCAAGGAGGCTGACTGCAGATGGCAGGGGACTGGAAAGGGTTGGCCAGGGCTGGTAACAGGCTAGCAGGGCTGGTGATGGGCTGGTAGGGGGCTGGCAGGGACTGATGGGGGCTGGCAGGAGCTGGTAGTGGGTTGGCAGGGGCGGCGAGGGCTGGCAGGGGTGGTGAGGGCTGGCAGGGGCTGGTAGTGGGCTGGTAGGGACTGATGAGGGCTGGCAGGGGCTGGTGAAGGCTGGCTGGGAGCTGGCAGGGACTGATGAGGGCTGGCAGGGGCTGGTAGTGGGCTAGCAGGGGCGGTGAGGGCTGGCAGGGGCTGGCAGTGGGCTGGCAGGGGTGGTGAGGGCTGGCAGGGGCTGGTATGGGGCTGGCAGGGGTGGTGAGGGTTGGCAAGGGCTGGTAGGGAGCTGGCAGGGGCTGGTGAGGGCTGGCAGGAGTTGGCAGGGGGGCAAGGAGGTTTAATCCTGAGCTCTTCAGGACAGGTGCCCAGCTGCCCTGGGGGTCCCACCCACAGACTACATCTCCCTTCATTCCAAATGCTTCCTCCAGTCCCATCTTTCCAGGAGCTGTGAGGTGGGGAGGCAAAGTAGAAGGAGGCAGCCCTGTCCCCAGGGGACCTTGGCAACACGAATGCAGGTCTCTCTGCCAGCAGTGCTGCTGCTTCCCGTGTTACCGTATCTCACATCCTCCTGACGAGTGAAAACATGAGAGGTTGGTGAATCCAGCTTAACTGTCAGCCTCAGGCTCCGGAACGTGGAAGCCCAGGTAATGATCCTCACCTAGAGGTTTACCACCTTTAATCCAAATTATGTGTGAGTCTTTATCCACTCTGTTACCTTTAAAGACATGTGCTGAGTCCAGGAACTATGGGATTAGCGTTGGAAGGGATCTGGAGACCAGCTCATCCAAAGCCTATGTCACAGGCCAGGAAGGTAGCCAGGGAGGACCCGTGGGCACAGCTGACCAGAGGGAAGTTTCTAGTACTAAGAGTTTACGTTGGAAAAAAAAGGAAGGTATCAAGTCAATAATCGAAGCTTCAACTCTGAGACACTAGGAAAAGGAGCAAAGGAAACCCAGAGCAAGCTAGAGGAGGGAAATACTAAAGGACAGAAATCAATATCACTGAAAACAGAAAAATCGAGAAAATCAATGAAACCAAAGCTACTTCTTTGAGGAGACCAATAAAATGGATAACCCCTAACCAGACTGACCGAGAAATAGAGAAATGACACAAATTACCAACATTAGGAACAAAAGAGAGAATATTAGCAAGTGCTTTTCAGAAATTAAAAAGATAGTAAAGGAATTCCACAAGCAACACCGGAACATTCAGAAAATTAGATAAAACAGACCAAATCCTTGATAGACACAGCTACCAAAACTCATTAAGGAAGAAATAGCAAACCAGAAGTCCTATTTTTATTAGAGAAATGGAATTCAGAGTGAAAAATCCTTCCGACAAATAAAACTCCAGGTCCAGATGTTTCACTGGCAAATCTATAAAACATTTAAAGAAGAAAAATGGCCAATTCTGCATAATCTTTTCCAGGAAATAGAAGAGAAGGGCACACTTCCCAACTCCTTTTATGAGGACAGCATTATCGAAACCAAGCAAAGACATTCCAAGAAAGGAAAACGATAGATCAATATTCCTCATGAGTATAGACACAAAAATCTTCAGCAAATCGAATCCAACAATATATAAAAAGGATAATATATCACAACCAGGTGGGGTTTATCCAGAAATTCAAGATTGGTTCAACATTCAAAAAACAATTAAGGGGAGTACTTGGGACCTCTCTGCACTATGCAACTTTTTGTGAATCCATTAATTACTTCAAGATGAAAAAAATTAAATATCAATTAATGCAGTCAACCACATTAGACTAAAAAAAGAGAAAACTGTGTGACCATCCCAATAGGTGCATAAAAATCATTCCACAAAACCCAACATCCACTCATGATCAAATCTCTCAATAACAGAAGGGAAATTTCTTAACTTGATAAAGCTAATCTAGAAAAAACTACAGCAAACATGATTCTTACGAGCAGTGGTGGCTCAGTGGTAGAGTTTTTGCCTTCCATGTGGGAGACCTGGGTTCGATTCTCAGCCAATGTACTTCATGTGCAGCCACTATTCATCTGTCAGTGGAGGTATGCGTGTTGCCATGATGCTGAACAGGTTTCAGTGGAGTTTCCAAACTAAGACTAGAAAGAAAGGCCTGGCAATCTAATTCTCAAAATCAGTCAAGGAAAACTGTATGGATTACAATGGTCTGATCCACAATTGATCATGGGAATGGCACAGGACCGGGCAGTGCTTTGTCCATTGCACGTGAGGTTGCAGCTAACAACAACAGCAGCCTGATCCTTAATAGTGAAAGACTGAACCCTTTCCCCATAAAATCAGGTATGTGTTGGTACACATGCATGTATTTCCTAGCTCTGTCCACTGACAGGGACTAGAAGCAATGACACCTCAGTAGCATTGAGCACACCCAGCATCCAGATCTTGGTTTCTAATGCCATTCTTCAATAAAGGGAGCCAGGTTCCTTGGAGAAGCGGCTGATTCCAGGGATACAGCAGGGAAAATACGAGATGAGCTTGTAGTATCTGTCTTTTGGACGAGAAAGTAAGAAAGTTCAAAAAAAAAAAAAAAAAAAAAAAAGGGCAGGGAATACAGGCATGTCAAAAGGGCATAGAGAGAAAATGAAAGAATTCCCAATGGCCAAATTTGTAACAACTTAAGCAACAAAATAATGATAATACTGAATCATAACTCAAATAATAAAATATTCTTTAGTCTATATGGAAATAAATCAATAATGGAACATAGAAGTAAACAGAAAAGATGAGATGACTCCTCCTTACAGAAGAATTTCAGTTAATAAATGTAGATGGAATTGGGAAATAAAAAATCTCCATTAGAACATCACAGTAATAATCACTGTACACAAGATCCCCCATGGATGCTAAAACCACTGGACAAGCATTTAAGCAGAAACAGGATATGTGCATGGCCTTAAAGTCTCTCCTCCCAAATATTATTAATTTCAAAGGGAAAAATAGTAACTTTACTGTGTTAAGTCCTTGTACACACCACCTTAATCAAGTGATAACCAAGGTTAAGCTGACAGAGCCCATCACTTTTGTGGGAATCTTCCCCAAAGTACAATAACTGCAGCCTAAAGGTTGGCAGTTCGAAGCTACCCAGTGGTACCACAGAAGAAGGACCTGGAGATCTGCTTCTGTTAAGATTACGGCCAAGACAACTTTAGGGTGTGATTCTACTCCGTAACCCGCGGGGTCACCATGAGTCGGAATCAACTTGACAGCAACTAACAACAACAAATCATGAGAAAGTAACAGACAAATCTAGATTGAGGAACATCCTACAAAATAACTGATTCGTGCTTTCAAAAGTGCCAAGGTCCTGAAAGTCAGGGAAAGATTCAACAAGTGTCACAGATAGGAAGAGACAAAGAAGGCCAGACAATCAACGGGATGGGTTCTGGATGGGATCTTGGAACAGAAAAAGGATGTTAGTGGGAACCTGGTGAAATATGAATAAAGTGTGTCCTTTAGTTAATGTAATGCGTTGTTGTTTGATACTGTCCGTTGGCCTCCAGGTCACGGCGACCCCATGCACAACAGAAAGAAATGGTGCGCGGCCCTGCACCAACCCCATAATTGGTTCGGACTGGACCACTGTAATCCATACGGTTTTTATTGGCTGATTTTCAGAAGTAGATTGCCAGGCCTTTCTTCCCAGTCCATCTTAGTCCGGAAGCTCTGTTGAAACCTGTTCAGCATCTTAGCAACATGCAAATCTCCACTGACAGACAGGTGGTGGCTGCACACGAGGTGCATTGGCTGGGAATCAAACCTGGGTCTCCCGCATGGGAGGCGAGCATTCTACCACTGGACCACCACACAAGGAGTAGCTGTGAATTCGAACTGCCGACCTTTTGGTTAGCAGCCGATTTCTTAACCACTGCACCATCAGGGCTCCCAATAGTAATGTACCGACGTTCGTTTCTTAGATTTGATCATTGATTGATAGTTATGCAAGATGACGCAATGCTAGAGGAAGCTGTGTGAAGGGCATATGTGAACCCTCTGTACTCTTTTTACAACTCTTCTGTAAAATGAATTTTAAACTGGTGCCATGGGCTCAAGCCATGCCTAGACAAGATGTGTGCTGCCACACTCCACACACAGTGGGGCTACTACTTCCTGTCCCTCACGTGCTCCAGACGGCCCCCACGAGAAATGAGCCACCTCCAACTTCTCTTCCTATCCCAGCTTCTAGCATTCTGTCTCTTCTCAATAGGTACTGCAGAAAAATCATGACTCGCGTTATCTTTGTTTAGAAACCCAATCAGCCTCCTTCTCCTGCCTTTCCAAGCACAGAGGCATAAGACCTTGGTCAGGAGCCCGAGAAACCAGGAGCCAGCAGAGCCCCCTGCACGCCAGATGCTCAGCCCTGGTTGGGGTGGGGTCAGGGACCAGCCCACTCACAGATTCGGGTCTCACTTTAGCCCGAAGAAAGACCCTGTTAGAACACAAACAAGTAACTTATGTCCCATCCTGATTTTCCTCTACGAGGCTAAAAAAGTCAAGATGCTCAAGCAAATTACAAGAGTTTTGTGAGCTGAGCAACAGTTAGAAAACTAAACACAAAGCTGTTTGTGTTCCTGTGACGGGTTCAGGCAATCAGGAAGGGAAGGCATCCTGGAGACTCTGGTGGGACAACACACAACTAAGAGGGATATAAAAGCCCCAGAGACCAAAAGCTCCTCACACTCTCACGTCCTCACTCACACTCACACCCTCCTCCCAGCTTACCCCCCCTCCCCCCACCATGGCTGCATCTATACTGTCTGTCTGCTCCAGTGACCTGAGCTGTGGCAGCTGCGTCTGCCTGCCTGGTTCCTGTGAGTCTTGTACAGGCTCCTCCTGGGAGGTGGACGACTGCCCCGAGAGCTGCTGTGAGCCCCCCTGCTGCGCCCCCAGCTGCTGTCAGCCCACCTACTGTGTCCCCAGCTGCTGTGCCCCAGCCGCCTGCCTGACCCTTGTGTGCACCCCTATGAACCCCTGCTGCCAGGCAGCCTGTGGGTCCAGCCCCTGCCAATCAGTCTGCACCAGCTCCTGTGAACCCTCCTGCTGCCAACAGTCTAGCTGCCAGCCTGTGTGCTGCACACCCTCCCCCTGCCAGCAGGCCTGCTGGGTGCCCGTCTGCTGTGAACCCGTCTGCTGCAAGCCTGTCTGCTGTAAGCCTGTCTGCTGCAAGCCTGTCTGCTGTGAGACCTCCCCCTGCCCGGCCCCTGCATGCTGCCCGCCCTCTCCCTGTTCCCCCTCCTGCAGCAGACCCTCCTCCTGTGTGTCCCTCATCTGCCGTCCAGTGTGCAAGCCTGCTTGCCGTGTGCCCACCTCCTCCTGCTGTGTGCCCACCTCCTCCAGCGTCCCTGCTCTGCCACCCTGTGTGCAAGCCTGCCTGCTGTGTGCCTGACTCCTCCTGCTGCCAGCCCAGCTGCTGCCGCCCGGCTTCCTGTATATCCCTGGTCTGCCGCCCTGTGTGTCCCCACCCAGCCTGCTGAAGTTCTGCCTGGGCCCAGAAATCCTGCTGCTGACCGAATGTACCCCCCTCCCCGGGGCCAGCTGGGCTCCAGATCCCACCTGGAAGCTGAATGCATATCCTGAGTTGCTCTAGCACTTAGTCCTTCCTTAGGGCCTCAGCCATCTGCTGCTGAGCTGAAGTATGTGGAACAACTGAACACCGCTGTGGATGTTGCCTTCCCAGGATGTCCCAGAAAGTCCTCATGGTGGCCTCTCTTCATATCTCCTGCCTCCCCCCAGAGGTCCCTCATGAGGCTCAGCACAGCCTCGCCCCAAGAGGTCTCTGTCCTCCTCGGCTCAGTGACTCCAGCCCTGTTTGTATGCACTCAAGCAAACCAACCAATAAACGCTCCATGACTCTATGGATGGCATTGGGGCTCCATGTTCATTATTTATTACTATTTATTCCTCTGCTTGACAGCAGGCTCACTTTTCCTCTCTTTGCACGCAACACTCTTGCAAACCTAAAGGACCCTGGTGTGGTCCTGGGCCCAGTGGCATGTGGCTCCTAGCTTTCAGGACTGGGCGGTCTAGGGTGTGGGGTGGACTTTGCAGCCCTTTGGCCATTTCAGGACCACCTTGGGTTTATCCCCAGTCCTCCTGTCCCATTATTCACTTGTTGTGTGCCATCGAGTTGATTCCGACTCATAGTAACCCTATATGACAGAGTAGAACTGCCCCATAGAGTTTCCCAGGCTGTAATCTTTACGGAAGCAGATAGCCAGGTCTTTTCTCCCTTGGAGAAGCTGGTAGGTTCCAGCTGTTGACTTTTCAGTTAGTAGCCGAGCGCTTAACCATTGCACCACAAGGGCTCCTATTATTCACTTAATAGTCTTTTATGCCAACTTGCCTTCTCCTCCTTTTCAACAATAGCTCTTAAATCATAAATATGATCTTCTAGATCCATGTTTTCTAGAGCCTATTAAAATGACTTTATAAATTCAAAGTTAGAAACTGTACATCTGTGTATGCCCCCAAATTCTGTAGTGTGCCCTGCGGTGGTACCGGGAAAACAAGCTGTTGAAATTCCATCTCTGCTGTTTATATTTGTATGAGCAGACACTTTCTTGACCTCTTCTGGCCTTCATTTACTCTTCTCTAAGGTTAGACGTCAATAAAGAAGTCATTTGGATGACTAAGGTGTGCCTGACCTAAACTATGCATAGTCTTTTCAATTGCCTCATATGCATGCAAAACCTGGACAATGGAAAAGGAAGACAGAAGAAGAATTGATTCATTTGAATTGTGGTGTTGGTGAAGAATACTGAATACATCATGGACTGCCAGAAGAACAAACAGTCTGTCTTGAACAATCAGAATTCTCCTTGGAAGCAAGAATGGCGAGGCTTCCTCTTGCTTACTTTGGACACGTCATCAGGAAAGACCAGTCTCTAGAAAAGGGCGTTATGTTTGGGAAAGTAGAGGGTCAGCGAAAATGAGGGAAACCCTCCATGAGCTGGATTGACACAGTGGCTGCAACAATGGGTTCAAGCATACCAAAGATTGGGAGGCTGGCACAGGACCTGGCAACATTGTATTCCATTGTAAATAAGGTCACTATGAGTCAGAGCAACTCTTTGGCAGCTAACACCAAATCAGAGTAATGGGACTTTTTGTTTTTAGGTATTTAAAAAGATTGTCAATAATGACAGGGAGCAAATGCATTATGATTAGAATGAGTGTGTGGGACCCAAATGCATTGGCCAGAACATAAAGACACTGGGATGATTCCTGGATATTTAAAAAATCTAAAAGAAGTATGTTGGTAATAATGATATGTATTATAGACTGAATTGTGTCCCTAAAATATGTGTTAAGATCCTAACCCCTGTACCTGTAAAATGACCCTGTTTGGAAACAGGGTATTTTTTTTTTTTGGTTGTTGTTTTTATATTAATGAGGTCATACCTGTGTAGGGTGGATCCTAAATCTAATCATTTCTCAGTGGTGTCTTATAAAAAGACCAGATTAGACACAGAAACACACACGCGGGGAAGAGGAAGACAGACAATGGAGACAGATGCATCTACAAGCCCAGGAATGCCAAAGATTGCTGGCAGCTACTAGAAGCTGAAATAAATAAGGAAGGACTTCCTCTGAGATCCATGCCCCAGAATTCAGACTTCTTGCCTCCCAAACCGGGAGAAAATAAATTTATGTTCTTTAAAGCCACCCACTTACGGTATTTCTGTTATAGCAGCACTAGGTAACCAAAACAATGTATTGGAGACAGTGGAGGAAGTACTGACCTATTTCAATTATTATAAAATCAAAAAGGATCTCAGTGCAAAGGTGTCTGAGCATTGCCCAAGAACTTGGCTGCAGTAGAGGTTGTATGCAATGGGCTCCAGGTTGATTGAGTATGTCATTACACAACATAGTTTGTGTGCACATGGTTTCCAGCCTCATGGGTCAGTGTACTGATTGCAACACTTGGGACCAGAGAGTAAAAAATAAGAATTCTGGAGAAGGTTCTTTAACAAAATGAAGTGCTGATCCTCCTCATGTGAGCCCAGAGGAGATGGTCATTCCTGGTCAAAGCACTTGGTGTATTTACCAAAGACAACGCTAGTATATGAAATAAATTTTCTAGAGAGTGGATGGGGTAGCATGGCCCACCAAGATAGCCAATGTGGTCATGACATTTCCACTGGTGGTTTGAACTGTCATTTTATGAAGCCTTATTTCACAAAAAATTAAGCTTTCTTAGTAGTTTTTCATTTGATAAAACATAGTATTTTGATTTCCAACTTAATTAGCAAAAATGCAAAGGGTAGAGACTCAAGGACAAAAATGTCATGTGACTAGAGATCATATTTACCCTCCAGAATAACCTGTGATGGTCAGCAGGCACAGGCAAGAGTGGACCAGAGGATAACAACTTGATACTATCCAGCCCATTCACTCCTCCAATATCTGAGCAAAGGGCAGACCCAGTGCTCCTTCACTGCCTGAATAACCCTTTTATCTATGGTTGCCCCAATCTGTGTAGTCCATTATCACCAAGTCAAGCATCCACCTAGCTTGTTTTTGAACTCTTGAATGTCATATCTTATTGTCACAGACACGTCCTAACTGCAATATATTTAACCTGGAGAATTTTTCACGTCCGTAACTAGGCATCCCCTTCAGCAACTGTAATGGTTAAGGTTGCATGTCAACTTGGCTGGACCATGATTCTCAGTGGTTTGGCAGTTGTGATGTATTTTGGCAGTTGTGTAATGATGTAATCACCTCCATGATGAGATCTGATATAATATAATCACAACCATGATGAGATCTGTTATGAACAGCCAATCAGTTGAAAGGGAGTTTCCTTGGGGATATGGTCTATATATGGACTTTTCAGCAAAGCTTGTTGTCTTCTGCTCTGCTCTGGATCCTGTATTTGGCTCGTCATCATCTGGCCTCCAGTTCTTGGGACTTCAGCTAGTGGCCTACCATCTTACCCGACGATCTTGGATTCATCAGCCTCCACAGTCTGTGAGCCAGCAGCCTGCCATCTGACCTGTGGATCTTGGGTTCATCAGCCCCTGTAGCTACGTGAGTCAGGAGAAGCCTCCAGTCTGATACCTGACCCACAGACTTGGGACTTTCCAACCTCTACAACTGCATTAGACATTTCCTTGATTTAATTCTCTCTTTCTCTCTCTCTCTATGTATATACATACATATGTATATGTGTGTATACATATACATATATATAAAACCAAACACCAAACTTGCTGCCTTTGAGTCAATTCTGACTCATAGCAACTGTACAGGACAGAGTAAAACTGCCCCACAGGGTTTCCAAGGAGCATCTGGTAGATTCGAACTGCTAACCTTTTGGT